CAGAGTCACCCACTTGGCTTTCATGCCTAAGGCTAAAACTCACCGTCTCCTTGTTTCTTATCTGGTGCCTTAACCACTAGACCAAAATACTGTTGAACTACATTTCCCCTCTTCTTGCACTAGAAAAAGTAGTTTGTCAATATCTGGAGACCAGAAATTCCTCAGGGCCACATCTCCTTGGTCTCATCAACGTGTCCTCTACCCCTGTCACTCCACCCTGGCATTTTACTTTTTAAAATAACTATTATCATTATTATTATCATCGTCATCATTTCAAAAGCTAGTTTCAGAAGTTGGCTGGAGTAAAATATTGCTGCACCAGCTGAAACTTTAGAGGATCATGAATAGTTGCATCAGGTGAGTCTCGGCTGATGAGACTTGGAGAGGGGACCTCCCAATTTAGGAATTTGAAGAGCAAATAGATTCAGAAGAAAGCAAAAACAAACCACATTCATAGTTGCCAAAGAAAACTTAATGTGCCAACAAAGTCCGGCTCAAATAAAGAAAACTTTGGTTAGTAATTCGAACATGGGAAAAACAAGCAGGGAAGGAAAGCGACCAGGTTGTGAGAGGAACAGATCGATCCCGATTTCGTTGGTTTGTTTCTGTTTTAAAGAAACGTTTTCGCCAAAACATAAATTGCTTGATGGGAAGAGAATGGCAGAAAAGGGGTATGGTTTCTTGGAGTCATTTTTCTCACCCACCCGCCACCTGCGTCCTAAAAATGGGAAGCTACCTGCTATGCACTAAAGCAGGGGTCTCCAACCTTGGCAACTTTAAGCCTTGGCAGACTTCAACTCCCAAAGCTGGCTGGGGAATTCTGGGAGTTGAAGTCCGCCAGGCTTAAATATTGCCAAGGTTGGAGACCCCTGCGCGAAAGAACCCAATTGCACATCCCTATCAAGGACTTCAGAGACAAACATTCTAGCTAAACGGGACGAGATCCAGCCGGTGCTTGAAAAGGAGATCACTTGGAAATCACATCCCAGAAGAAACAGTAGGTACCAAATCATTAGTAGACCCTTGGAGAAAGAAAGAGGGGGGGGGGGGGGGGAACTTCTCATAGACTTTCCAGATAGATTGAATCAAAAGTCAAGAGTCAAGAGAGGGCGGAGGAGGGAAGATAGAAAGACAGAGCTCTTGCCTCACAACCAGGAAGTTGTGAGTTCGATCCTAGATAGAGGCTAATATTTGGCGTCGACTCTCCTGCTCGAGCAGGGGGTTGCACTAGATGACCTCCGAGGTCCCTTCCAACTCTTTGTTATTCTATGAAAACGAGAGAAAGAAAAAACAAGAGAGAGAGAAGGAGGGAGAGAGGTGGAAGAGAGAGAGAGAGACCCATGCGCTTAGCTGGCAGCTGTCCAGGGCCAGTTGGAGACAGGCGTGACTCTATTTAATTGTGTGAGAGAGAAAGGGAAGGAGAGAGAGAGAGAGAGAGAGACAGAGACAAAGGGTGAAAGGAAAGAAAGAAATCCGGCTTGTTTTCTTCCTCTTTCTAGGGGAGGGATAGATAGCCAGGAAAGGGGCTCTTGGCAGGGCAGCGCGCAACAGAAAGCGCGCAATCGGGGCAGGGCGCGCGTGAGAAGCGCTGCAAAGCAAATGGGACGAGGCACCTCCGAGTTTGTATCCCCCTCCCCGCGTCCCCAAACCACCACCGCCCCCCGGGGGACCCCGTGTGCCTCCCCGCCTCGGATCTCCCCAAGACCGGGGAGGCGAAGTGGAAGCTTGCAGGCGCCGGGGCCAGCGGAGACGGGAGCCTCGATCCCCAGGCTGGGCGCGCCTGGGGTGCAAAAGTTAGGAGGAAGGCGGGTGGGAAGCTTGCAAGAGCGGCTGGGTGAGCGAACCCCGGTCCGGCTCCCCGGCTTTCCGAGCGTCCTTCCCTCATCCAGGTCTCAGGGGCCGCAGGGAGAAGAGATCGAGCGGAGAGGCTTACTTACCCGAAGCAGCGGTCCGAACTGGGAAACTTGCGACGGGGAATAGTAGCTACGCCGGCGCGGCGCTTGGGAAAAGTCTTGCTGGCGCGTTCCCGCCTTGTTCTGGCTCCACCTGCCAGGAGGTGCGGTGGAGAAGGAGGAGGAGGAGGAAAGCAGGGCTGGACAACCTTGACCAGGAGGATTTGCACTTCTTCCGATAGGGGGCACCTTTGTGGCTTTTCTTTCCTTGTCCAGCTTTGGCCCAATAAGACCCAGACACCGAGTCTGGTGACAGGAGGGTTTTGAATTACACCCCCCCCCAAAAGCAGGTCACATCCCCTTTAGAAGCAAGACTGGGGTTTTAACAGCATAACAGAGTTGGAAGGGACCTTAGAGGTCTTCTAGTCCAACCCCCTGTTCAAGCAGGAAGCCCTATCCCATTTCAGATAAATGGTCCTCCAATCTCTTCTTTAAAACCCTTCAGTGTTGGAGCGCCCACAGCTTCTGGAGACCAGTCAGTTGCTGAGGGGTCTTTGTGTGAAAGGGGGAGGAATAGGTGCCTTTGTCCCAGGACGATGGTTTGAAAGAGATTGGAAGCTAAGTAGGAATGCGGTGGATAATGTTGGGAATTCAAACTTGAACTTTTCTACTGAGAAATTCTGAATTTTGTAAAACTCAAAACTATCAAAACAATTTTTTGACCTTGTAGAGAGGTTTGGTTTGCTTGTTTGCTTGCATTTTTTAATTTTAAAAAATAAAGTTGCATTTGAGCAACTGAAAACTATTTGGATATCTGGTATGACTGGCTAAAGAAAAGGTGATATCTGATGACTTGGTACCATTTGAAAAATAAGGGTGATGTGTAAACAATTGTAAAGAGAATTATACATATGTAAACTTAGAGCTTAAAAGGATGAAAGAGTTATTATGGCAATATATAACACGCTATTAGAGGGAAAGTACAAGTGTATCTATTGCTCAAACAATGCTGTAAAATGTATATATATGATTTTAATTTTATAAATACTGAATAAATAAATTTTTAAAAAAAGAAAAAAGAAAATAACTATTTGGTGTTTGACAAACGATTCGTGTTAACTGTTGCTGCTTCACAGAGTGACACCAGGACAGTGTAAATTGCAAATAGAAGCAGAGATCCTTGTCCAGTGGGGATCTGAGCATGCAACTGTCTGAGAGCGAATTTCATAGTCAGGAAAGCATGCAGACGTGTAATTTATACCCTAGCAAAACTATGTTGATTTGTGGGCCATCAGATCAAACGGAGAACCAACCATGTGACACAAAAGGGGTTTCAGGAAGTCCACCCAAGTTGTCCTTGCTTTGCAGACTCATAACCGCTTTGAAGAGGACAATGGATCACAGGCAACTATCTGAGATGGATCAAATAATGAAGAGATAAAAGTCTACCTCGCCTCAATGTGAGGTCTTGACTACTGCAGTGAGCTCTACACGGGGCTGCCCTTGCAAAGGATGCCAAGAGCTTTGGTAAGTTCAAAAAGCACATGTTTTTGTGCAAGTCTGGATTTGCACACATCCCCTCTCTTGTGCGAGCTGCCAGTTGGTTGACAATTCACTTCCAGGTTGAATTCAAGGTATTGTTGTGATTCGCCGGCAGCAGCACGGGTGACTCGGGAGTAAGGCTGCAAGGTAATGGCCCCTCCCTTAAGAGATGAAAGCCAGCCTGAGAGACCGGGATTCTTTGCAAGAAGCAAAGAAGTTCTTGCACTTCAAGCCTTGTGGAAGTTTGGACTATCTTGGTTTGTGTTTGAAGACTTTTGGTTTGGAATATTTCTTGGCAACTTAATCTAGTGTTCTTGGCAGCCTTGCACAACCTTGGCAAGGCTCATTCTTATCAGAGACAATTAGTTTTAATAGCATTTTAACTGAATTAACGGAATTCGCAGAAGGCATTAAAAGGTTTTCCTTTTATCTCTGTTTGGTGTCTGTTTACTTGGAACAAGGTTTGGGTCAGAACAAGTCTCGCCTTTAAAGCCTTATGTGACTCTGAGCCAGGTTATTAGAAGGACCATCTACCTGATACAGGAAGCAGAGTCTGTTACAGGCCATCCCCATCAAAGAAGTCTATCTAGTGCAGGGGCGTCAAACTCAATTTCATTGAGGGACGCAACAGGGTTGTGTTTGTCTTCGGCAGGGGGGCCTGGCCAGCTCAACATCACTCGTGTCAGGGGTACCTGTGGTGGACCGAGAGCTCTGCCATCAAAATTGGGCTCCCGAGCTCCGTTTTTGGCTGTGGTGGCTTCCTGCAACCCTCTGCCGGCAAAAACACAGCTTGGGAATCCGTTTTCGCTGGCAGAGGCATCTCGGGCTGGTCCTTCGCTGTTTCCAGGACAGGCCCATGGGCCAGACTGAAGCACCCCACGGGCCGGATCTGGACCCTGCGGCTCGAGTTTGACACCCCTGATCTAGTGGGACCAAGAAGGGCCTTCTTGGTAGTGGCTTTCACCCTTATGGGATACCATCCCCGCAGAAGTTAAGACTGGGCTGTACCTCGATACTCTTCCGAAAAACCCCAAAGACCTGGTGTTTTGTTTTTTGTTTTTTGCCTGCAGACCTGAAGATCCAAGATTGATATGCAACCCATCAAAAATGGCTTGTTTGAATGTTGTCACCAGGGAAGAGAAGGTGTGTTGTGTTTTATGTGTGGGGTTTACTTCTTGTAAGCTGTTCAGAGTCATTGTGTGTTGGCCTATAAATGCAGTAAGTAAGTAAGTAAGTAAGTAAGTAAGTAAGTAAGTAAGTAAGT